ACCATCAAGAAACACACTGTCCTGACTGGTACTACATGCGCTGGATAACTCGGTGATAATCTCCATCATGGCGTTCCTGTGCGCACAACAGAGCTTGCTGTCTTTCCAGTTTCCTCGTCTGCAATCAGCTTTCTCATTCTGATTTGAGTTTGCCTCCGTACTGCTTCAGAGTGTCAGTCCTAGTTCTGCCGATTCGCTGCCGTCTTGCCGTCCTTAGTATTCACTTTCCTTGTTCTCTCTCAGCTCAGTCCCGTCAGACTACGTGTCTTCAGCGGCCAGAGATTATAGTTTGAGTAGTTGAGTATTATATTCTCACAATGGCTTGTTTCTCGACCAGATAAAAGACGCCATCGGCCAGAGTGGCATCTCAACCTTCGGATGCAGGACATAATGTGCGTGTGTGGCGAAAGCCTGTTCGTCTTCAAACGCCCAGAACTCCAATACCTCCCCACTCGGATTCTGTTGTGTCCGACGTTGCGCCGTCAGTTTCTTCTGCCACCGCGTTGAATGTGGCCCCTGATCCTGGGGCGGCAACTCAAACTTCGGCTTCAGGCAGTAATGCGCGTGCGAGGCCAAATTATGTTCGTCGTCAACCATCCGGGACTCCATTATCTTCCTCCACGACCTCTGTTGTCCCCGACGTTGCGCCATCAGATTCTTCTGCCGCCGCCTTGAGTGTGACCCCTGATGTACTTGCTTCGATTGTTTCTCACGCCGTCGGCCAGGACCTCGAGCCCCTGATGGAGCGAGTAGAGCAGTTGGAATCTGCCGCAGCCGTCGTGCCGCCTATCAACTCCAGCTTCGTTCATGCATTGGGCCATCTGCCGGCTGCTCGTTCGTCGCTCTCTGTACCTGATAAACTCCGCGGGCGAATTGAACGCTGCGAGTTTATTGATTTCGACGCCCTCCTCCCGGACTAGCTGGGTGTAGAGCCTGATGTGTCCAGCTAGCGGTGGGGGCCAACTGCTCTGTCCAACTTGTACAGAAGCCGACTAATGCGCTATGTCCACGATGTAGCATCATGGCTCGAGGCGTTTACTGTCGACACGAGAGTATTTGTCGCGGCGGCTCCAGATAGGGCAAAAGATTTGCTGGCATATCAGACCACTATTCTGGATGCAAATAGCTCGTATCATGTGGACGCATGGCTAAGTTATAGTGCACCTCTCTGGTGCACCCAGTGGCTCAGGCCCGGTGTCCCTTTAGACCAGAGCCTCCATCCGTCGGCGCTGGGAGTGGAGGTCCGCCACAGTCCAGCGTGCCGAACCATCTTGGGAAGCCTATCTGCCGCAACTTCAACAGGGAACGGTGCAACAACTCATTTTGCTATCGTGCCCACGTGTGCCTTCAATGCCGTAGGAAGCACCCAGAAGCCAAATGTGGCAGGGGACAGTCCGCCACCTCAGCGTCTGCTCCGTATACATTCTGTGGAGACCCCATCAATGTTAGCCGGTTAGCCGGGCTCCTTAACCGTCATTCTGATCACTCCTTCTCTCCCTTTGTGTTACATGGGTTGTGTCACGGTTTCACGATAGGCGATCAGTCTGCTGCTATATATGGTGTTCATAGTTATCCCAATCACCTGTCGGCCATCCGTAATATGCAGTATGTTTCTTCTTATTTGACCAAATGTTGTGAAGCTGCACAGACAGCAGGTCCATTTAGAGCCACCCTTTCTGTGCATGCAGACATCTGGTCTGGGTGTTGTGCCGAAGTCCAATGGAAAACTTCATGGAATACGTGACCTGTCGTCTCCCGATGGCAGCAGTGTCAACGATGGTATACCACGCGGGCAGTTCAGCCTGCATTACGACTCCGTGGACACCGCAATTGCCACCATTATGCGACTCGGCAAGGGCTCCCTCTTGACAAAGGTAGATATCCGTAATTTATCACATGGCACGTAATTGTTGCCCGTACTCCAGCGAATCAGCACCTTTCGCGCCGCGGGCAATAATATGCGATATTGCCCGCAAAACAATAGTTTATTTGCCCGCAAAAAAATAGTTTATTTCAGTGATCGCGTGACTACGACGACTCTGTAGACTGTACGACTCTACGACGAGTCGCAATGTAGCATTGAGACGAAGATGGAATTCTTTTTGGAGATGGACATCCCGGCAATGGACATGGCCTCGGACGTCTGCCGTGTGGTGCTTGCAGGGATCATTTGTTCAGTCATGTTTGCAGCCTGAACGTCGGTAAGCTTGTGGATAATATTCAGTTCTGCTCGAAGTGGTACTGTGATCACAAACAATTCGATTTGAAATAACACAAATTCAACTCAGCGTCGTGCGTTTTCAAATCCTCGCAAAGTCACTGCCTGTGTGTGGTCTTCATGTGCCACGCAAAACTCTTACCAGGCTCATCTGTCCTCTGCCTTCGCCTTTGCTTGAACAACAAACACAACAATTCAGGAATGTGTTGCAATGAAAAATACAGCTATCTGGAGCTGAAAAAAAGAAGAAAAATTGTCCTCAGAATTACACACCAGGGAGTCGTCAAATACTTGCACTTGTTGCAGTACTGTATTTGACAACTTCCTGATACACATGTAAACATGAAGAAACTCTTTGTGGTAGCACTCTTAATTTTTCAACTGAAATTATGATTCTGCTGTATTTTATTGTCGTTGCCATGTCTATTGCTATGACGATGTGGTGCCGGCACTTTTTTTCTGTCTCCGTCTTTCAGTACTGTATACTCTCTGATGGCCTGTAGCAGACTTTTTGTTGGGGTGTAGGAGAAATATATTCATTTTTCCTGTTTTGATAATGATAGCACATCAATATACATTGTGGTCATAATGTGTTGGCATTTGGCCTAATTTCAACAGCAGCCCAATGGCCTGCTCTGTGGGCCATGTGATAAATTTGTTATCGCATGGTTGCTGCGGGCCTTATGGCATATTAGGGAGGTTTCGCTCTACGGAATTACGTATGAAAATAACGTATGAACTGCACGGAATTTTCATACGTAAAAAGCAGAGCTGTTGGGTTTTGCTCTACGTGATTTCTCCACGACTGCTAAACATGCGTTGTTGCTTTGGAGACGCGTTGGCTGCATGCGCCCGCCGTATGCACTATGAACCGAAACCGCGTTTTCCATGATATTATGCACGTGGTGTACGGTGTGTGTACCATGTGTTTCGCGCGGCTTGAATGTTGCCATGGACAAATGCGGAAAATGCGAAAAAATATTTCAAAAAGTCCTACGGAGGACCCAACGTAGGAAAGAGCTTTCCTACGGAAATCCGTAGAGAGATTTACGTATGAAAGTTGCCCTCGCTCCCCGGCGCGTACGACATACAGATTTTCATACGTTATTACGTAGAGCGAAACCTCCCTATTATTGCCCCTCGAGGTTAGCCCTCGGGCTAACCTCTCGGGGCAATAATATGCCATAAGGCCCTTGCAACCATGCGATAACATATACGCATTTCGCCTATGTCCCGTCGCCCCCTCGGACTGCCATCTTCTCGGCATCCGTTGGAATGGCATGCACTATTACGAGGTCCTTCTATTTGGTCTCCGCTCCTCACCATTCATCTTTAACCAGCTGGCAACTGCTATCAACTGCTGTCGTGGCACTAATGGCGCTATGACATGACAGTATGCCTCGTCAGCTGGTCTCAAAGTAAGACACACGTCAGCCATGCAGACGTAATGTAGAAGAAGACTGATTCATAATGAGGTAAGACATTGTCACTCTTCGACATGCATGCATCAAAGGAACGTAGAACGACACACGTAGAAACACACGTAGAACGACACACGTAGCAGAACGTAGATCGTAGATCGTACGACTAATATTAATAATAGATCAATCTATAACAGGCTGCAAGCCATCTAGAGGCTCCAAGCAGAGCCATCATACCAGTTGCTCGAATCGGCACTCCCGGCTTAATCCAAAACTCGGTTGCTCTGTTGTGAGGTGTGTGTGGGGGGGGGGGGGGGGGGGTGCTAAGTAGAGATACAAGCGAAAGTGCATGTTCTTTAAAAAAACAAAAAAAAACATGTTCTTTGAAGGTGAGTAAAGTGTCGTACTTTTAGTGGGGCCACAAAGGGTTAAGCACCAGACGACACTTGCTTGGAAAGTTATCCCTTTCTTGCTGGAACCCACATGGTCAGCCTCTGCGGACATGGACCTCTACATGGACTCATCCAGGGCCAGATTCTTTTTTTGCCATCGTCGCCACCGCATCCACAAGGGCACCACAACTGCGTCTGGAGTGCTCCCCTTCCATTGCGATAACCGTAGTGTATGTGACATCCGGCTCTGCTTACGCACAACGGGTCCCTGCTTAATGGCACTTATGTGCACTTTGTATGCCTTTGCTGCTCGACACAACTTTCATGTCATCATCTCCCACATCTCTGGCACTGACAACGCTACTACAAATTCTCTGTCTCGGTTTCGGACGGCCAAATTCCATCAACAGACGAATATTGCCAATCCGACACCATCTCAGGTACCCTCAGGTGACCTCAAAACGAATGCATGCAAGGGCAGCTAGCTACATCAAATCCGTCAACCCGTAGTCACCCAACAGAAATGATAGAATGATTTTGTAAACGCAAAATAATATCGCGGAACGATCGCAGACCACAATCTCGAAAGGAAAGGTTCAACTGTGAAAGAATGCTGCAACAGAGAGAGGTGTTACTTCGGATAGATATAGCATCACAGAATGCAGACAACAAAGCAGAATCGTTCGCGTAGACCGACGGAGCAGCAGCTATCAAGCGCTACAAGCAAAAAAAACACAGAAGAGGCAAACAAAATTCAGACAAGGTAATGTGAAAATAATGAGTGTCAAAGAACACTAGCCAATGACACAGTGAGTATCACCTTGTCACTTGCTACAATTCCATATCGTGATGCAGATTATTTTGTCACGAAATACCCCTACTATGCTGCAACATACTGACCTGTTGAAAAAGAACTTTTTTTAAATATACCTCTACACCACAAATGTTCTCCTTTCGTTTTTTGCACAGATCCAGAAAGAGTAATGTCAGTCACTGTGAACCCAACCCCAACTTCTCTGGTAGTAATGTGGACTCCTCTGACTAACACACAGTGGAATGCAGCGGGTACTAGAGAGTACGTCGTTTCATGTCCGAGATCATCACCATTAGCATCAGCCATAGCAACAGTACAAGCTACTGATTCTAACGGTGATCTAATCCCTACCTCTTTAACTGCAGAGGTTGATGGTCTAACCCATGCTACAAAGTACACATGCACTTTAACAGCCCGCGCAAGCTACACAACACCAACCAGGAGTTTCTTGAGCACGGAGACTGTTGTGGATACTACCACTCAAACACGTAAGTACACATGGTGGCCTTTAGTTTGGTACAGGCCATTACAGAATGTTGTGTGTGTGTTGTGCCCTACAGTACCCCCTCATGCATAATCAGCATCCTCATTCTGTTATAGATAAACATGTTGGTGGCCAGTACTGACGACAGGAACCACTCTCAAACATATCGGGCAGTGTTTTCGAATGTCAGAGAAAGTTGCTCCTCGCGTATACGTTGTGTGCAAGTAGGTGGGTAGGTAGGTAAGTAGGTAGGTAGGTAGGTAGGTAGGTAGGTAGGTGTGTGTATGTGTATGTGTGCGAGTGGGTGCGCGCGCGCGTGTGCGTGTGTGTTGTAACTGCCTTTTCTCTACCTGCTCTCAGTCCCGTGCCATCTCCACACTTATACAAAGGGACGACGATAACTACATTTGAAAGACTGTTTATTGCAAGACCACTACGGATGCACAACTAGACATGACGAACTCAAGACGAAGACTGCTTTTCACACCACAGCAACACGCGCATGCACCAAGACCACGTACACACGACGTACACAAAATAACGTACTACAACATGTGCACGGGCGTGTGCGCGTGCGTGGGTTTGGGTGTGCTATAAAGTCGGGTGGAAGCTAGTTGGTGACTGAACGGCGAAGGGCAAGCTCCTGTCATCAAGGGTCACAGAATCCCAGTTTGCTGACGACGCTGCACTGTACGCAACATCTCGGCCTGCCTTCGAAGCGATGACATCCAGCATCATCACATGTGCAAGCAGCTGGGGCCTAACGGTCAGTGTCAGAAAGACCAAGGCAAGGGAATTGCTGTGGGTAAGTTTGATTTTATTATTATTTATTTTTTTACTACAAAGCACTGGCCAGCAACATAAAAGGGGAGGTAGACAAAATTGGACAAGCGAACATTGACAACACAGAGGAGCCTGGCATGCGTGCCGATGAGGTAGGTCAACCTCCCCCGACCTAGTGGTCTCGGGTTCAACAATTGGTCTACGCATCAGGAAGGGGAAATGGACAGAGAAAGGGAGAATGAGCATCAGGAGCTTCCCAGGAGAGGAAGAGTGAGAGAGAGAGAGAAACAGAAAATGATAATAATAGAGACAACCGGTTATTCTCAGTGCTGGTGGACTTCAGTGGCCCATAGCCAATTGGTCTGGCGGAGGTGATGGTAGGCCTTGGTCTTGAATGTCGGCAATTTCTTGAGAGTTGGGCGTTCGACGAGAATTGGGGCGGGCAGTGTGTTCCAGCTCTCCAGGACAAAGTATGGGAAGGAGCGGCGGATGAACTCGGGACTGGAGGCTGGAAGAGGAGTTGCGAGTTGGAAAGAGTGGCCACCGAGGGACTGGCGTTGTCGGCGCGTCCGGGGTGCAGCGTTAACTCTTGCTGGGGGAGGTACCATGTTGGTAAGCAGAGCTGGACCTGGTATGCCTTGCAGCTTATACAGGTAGCACAGCCCGTAAACATGCCTTCGGATTGCCAGGCTGGGGAGGAATGAGGGGCCAATAACCTTCATGGCTCGACGCTGGACCAGGTCCAGCTGATGGAGGTGACAATGTGCCGCACTTGCCCAGACGAGAGGGGCGTACTCCAATATAGGCCGTACAAATCCTTTGTACACAGTTAGGCGCCCTGCTCTGTCCAGGATCCGAGATGCTTTTCGGAGCAGGCCGAGTCGCTGGTTGGCTCTAACGGCAAGGGAACGGATGTGGGCCCGAAGGAGAGAGTACTGTCAAATAACACTCCTAGCAGCTTGAGCTGGGGGCTCTCTGTATTTGTATTTATGGAATCTCCACAGTCCTTAGCCTAAATCGAGGGAGTCTCAGTCAACCGCTTATGAAGAAGAAGCAGAGGAAAAAAAAGTATATATAGAATGATGCGGGATGGTATTAATTTAACACAGTGCTCTATGACATCGCACACGCGCTGGCACTACACGGGCACTAAGAATATCGCCATTTCACTCACCAGTAACGGATTCTCATCATCTTAGGCTCTCTGGAAAGCTAAGAATCTCCCCTGTCGATCCATGGTGATCAGTGCTCTGTAGGCACAGGAGAGCAGCCTACAAACACTCGAAAACTGCTCCAATGCGCCATTGTAGTGCTATTCTACACTCAGCGACAATTTCTTTCGATTTGCAGCTCATACTCAACGTACAGCGACGACTCAAACACCAGCAGAATCAGGCTGTTCTAGCGCTGAGTTTTGTATATGTCACGTATGGGCTGTTCCCTGGGGAAATCCCACGTAATCAAACACCTTGTCAACTGTAGCATGCAGTGTGTCCCAGTCACCGGCTTGAAATTTCAACTGCACCTGTTTCCTGAACTTCGAGCTTCGGCGCCTGAGTATTTTACTTTGTGCTTTATCGAATGACACATCGTTGGAAAGCTGCGTTCAATAGCTTTCCAATGAGCCATCATTTATTGAATTTGAAGTAGGGAGGGCGAAGTTATAGCTGTTTGTACAGTGTGTGGTAGTCCCACTGACCTATGTCTGATAGTTGCATGACTCTTGTTGTAATGTACGTTTTGTCTCTGTCATTGATGTGCTTTCAGTAATCTGCTGATATGCTAGAAGCACACTAGACCTACCTGCACTGCGTTCTTTCTGTACGCACTCTCCACATACCGGTACTTGGCATGTCCTAGCCCTAGCGCTGTGTAGTGCCATGCAGTCTACCAGTGACGTAGGTGTCAAGTGATACTTGTTTTAGCTACATTGTAGTGATTGTACATATCGACGGGTCCTGGCGCAAGGTCGAGGAGATGGAGAGAGAGAGAGAGAGCCCGAGAATGGCGGCCAGATCCATATTGTCCTGATTACGTATTATCCAGAACCCTTTCCTTGTATTTATTCTTATTGCATGTATTGACTATCCTTTTGACTGATTGAACCGGCTGGTGTGATTGACGAGTTGACTAAAACATTGGCGCAGTGAACAGAATTCTTTTCAGAAATAGGTCACTCGTTGCAGTTTGTATTTTTCACCACGCACGTGGGAAATGGCAGCACAGGTAAAAGTCGGCGTCCGCCTTGACCTGGACCACGAGCTGGGAAACGATCATTTCCTAACATGGAGAAGTCATTTGGAGATTGGCTTTGCACTCCACGAAGTGAAGGATCAGTTGAAGCAGTATTTGGCAGCAGCTGCCAATTTAAGCAAGTCAGCAAGCCACTATTTATGGCAGAGTTACCCGACAGTGCCAACTACTTCAACCAATCCCTACAACGACCTTATCAAATTGTTCCAAGAGTATTTCGGCTCGAAGCAGAGTGCAGCGTCCCGTTTGGCGGAATTGTTTGCAATCGAACAACGTCCTGGGGAGACAGTACAGGCCTTTCGGCTGCGGGCGCAAAAGGACATGAGGGTTTGTAACCTGACCAGCACTCGTAGTGCCGAGGAACTACTGGGAGTTGTGGGAGTCCACCTGCTTGCATGGGGGCTCAGCTCTGCCAGTGCCCGAAAGAGTGTCTTGGAGCACGATGCGCAGGACTTGAGGTCTGCCGCAGCCAAGGCGCAGGCAGTGGTATTAGCTGAAGAGGGTGCCAAAGAAGCACCAGTGCCAGAGGTCAGCTATGCAGCTACACGTCAAGCTGGACATGCACCATTGCCAGCATCAGGCTGTGGATATTGTGGGGAGATGCACGCTCCAGGCAAGCCGAACTGCCCAGCGGCGCATATGTTCTGTGCCCAGTGTGGGCGTAAGGGACATTTTGCATCGGTGTGCCGTGCCGGATTTGGTCCCGGTTCCAGTCGCAGAGCACGTCATCAAGGCCACACAACCGATCAGCACCAGCCGTTTCGTCACTCCGAACTGGTGCAGCACCACCAGCCATACAGTCCACCAAGCCACCAGAAGCCTATGAAACCATCGGGGTACAGGCAGGGAAGACCGGTTTCACTCTTCCTCTGAGGCAGGTAACATTGGACAGCCGGCACACATTGTCGCTAAGAGTGGACTCTGCCAGCATGGTTTCCATCATCCCTAAGGCATTACTCCCATCGGGGTATGTCCTGTTACCGCCGCCATGCCCACTCCAACCAGTGAAGACGCAACGCATAACAGCTGTGGGCGTGTTTGAGGATAACCTGAGCTATCAGGGCCGCGAAACGACTGAGACTATCTTTGTAGTCGATAACGCACAATGCAGTGTGCCAGCGTTTCTGGGAGAGCATGCCTCCATCCGTTTAGGTCTTCTGGCATTGCCGATTTCAGCAGTTGAAATACCAGCCTGTCGACGGCCTAACATCACTCCCTGCTATGCGCGGCCCGATAACAATCGCTCTTGATCCGGATCACCCTCCGTCTCAACAGTCATCTCGACGGGTAGCACCGGCACTGCTAACCTCGCTACGCCAACAACTAGATGCATGGCTAGAACAAGGAGTGGTCGAGATGGCGGAGGAAGTAACGGCTCAGGACTTTGTTTCCCCACTGGTTGCTACACCGAAACCCAACAAAACCATGCGCTTGTGCATAGATTGACGACAAGTCAACGCAGCGGTAAGGCGACCGGGTGTGCAACTCCCAGCAGGTAATGAGCTTCTAGCTCAACTGTCGGGCACACAGCTGTTCTCGAAGCTTGACCTTAAGTCCGGGTATTCTCAGCTCGAGATCTCACCTGAATGTCGTCATGCCTTCGTGGTCACCTCACCCTTGGGGTACTTCCGTTTCTGTCGTTTACCGTTCGCCGTGTCCACCGGCCCTGAATTATTTTAATGTAAGATGGAGGAAATTCTGGCATCCTGTCCATCCCATGTGCGGCCTGAGGAAAGGGTGGCGCGATGCTGCGCAGACGGATCTAGCAGTGTTGGGCATCGACAAATGGTACGACTTGGCAGAGGATAGACAGGAATGGCGGGCCGCTTACAATGTTCTGCCCCGCCCGAACCCGTTTGTGTGCCTCTGCGGGTACCTTGTATGGCTGTCTCTTCTCCAGGAGTGGTTTGCCTCATCACGAATGCCTCGGTGAGCGCTATAAACCTGTATCAGAATAGAGAGGTAGCC